AATCTAATTTCTGACCAATTTATCTTGAACTGGTGCCATCCCCAAATGGGAGAATGAGTGTGTAAAATAAACAAAAATTCAGAAAAGAGCACTTACAGTTTGGAGTTGCGAGAAATCCCAGAAATTGGCTCGATGGGAGAAATTTATTCGTCCTTTGTTAACAGAAAAAAGAAATCGAATTGGAAAACAAATTTACAGGTGGTGATTGGGAGAGGGAGGTGAGGTGTAGGAGCGCACGTGGCAGTATTTTAGTGGCTAAATTACATGCCAGCTGAGTAATACATTACTCGCCGGTTTTTTTCAACAGGAGAAACACGAGATACTGACACTATCGACTCTATTTTCATCTTGATGGGCCAAGCCCGTAGCCCGTATACATACTTTCGAGATCAATTTAATTATATTAAATATTACATAAAATTTAAATTCAATCATATAAAAAAATGGATTATAATTGATTATGAAAAAATTCGTAGTACAAATATATTGATTGGTCTTTTTTATTTAACAACATTTTTATTTTTTTGTTGGTCGTTTCTTAAATTATAGGTATACATGAATATAGTCACGTATCAAACTAAAAAATTATAGTGAAACGCAACTTAATAAACGTATAACAAAATTATAAAGTTTAATATTACAAAATTAGTTTTCTTCGTACAACCAAATATTACATGTAGTGTTTTAGTTGAAATTTTTATTTTTATTAATATTATTAAAAAAATATTTAAAAATGCATTCAGTCAAATGCATGATATTTATATTTTTCATTTTTATTTTTTAAAGCATTTAATGAAAAAAATATTTGTTGTCCAATATAAACATTGACATGATATTTAGATTTTAGACCATAATAAAAAATCATATAAGTATAAAAAAATATTTTTAATTTTATATGCCCACAATGAGTGTTGTCCAATATATGTTTAAGTATATATCGAATAAGTAGAACCCCATAATTTTTATGCTATTTTAATAGTTTAAACCTCATTAAATATAATATTCATTCTATATTATATGATAATTTATAATTAATTTATGATATTTTAATTTACAATACGTTTCTCGTAATTTGGACATAATTACAGATATATTTCAATTTAGGTATCCCACAAGCATTATATAATGTTAGATATTTTTTCAAAAGTTTTGATTTTTTTTAATATAAAATACAAATTGTTCAAATAAAGTAATAATATTTGGCGGAAAAATTTTATTATGTCTATTTTTATACTTCCTTCTCTTTGGTAGTACATACATGTAGAACTTATTTATCAACTTCTAGTCTTTGTGAGGTGGGGAGGGCTCCCAGAGAGGGAGATAGGTACACTGGGTGAGGTGGGACTCGGTTTGCCGCCCCTTCTTTGAGGGGGTCTTGGGATCCGTCATTTTTTGGATGTCGTCACTACATTCTCTTACAAGATGTGATGGCGCTTTAGGGAGGGTAAGTCACTTTGGGCCCAGTATCTTCGTCGGAAGTACTGTCCTGGAGACGTTGCCCACCCCTGTAGGGTGACGGCCACCGCCCGCGATAGCAGACAGTGCTTACCATGGTTGGTAGATGTGCTCAAAAGCACATATTTTGGACTCTGGGTAAGGGGGACATTAGCTTTTGGGATGAATGGTGGTTTAGTAAGGGTCCCCTTTCGAGCACTAGATAGGTTACCCACCTTCCCTTTCTACAGGTGAAGGACCTGTGGACGGAGGGGAGATGAGATAGGGATAGGCTAGAGAGGATTCTGGGTACTGGAGCGAGTTTTAGTGATCAGGTGATAGATGAGATCTAGCAGATTTCCATCTCGGATGACGGTTTTTGGACGATATGAGGTGGAGACTTACATCTTCGGGTGCATTCTCTACGACCTCGACTTAGGTGGAAGTACGGCTGGGTGACCGGCCTAACCTTCTCTTCGGGGCCATCTGGACCGACCTACTTACCCCTACCATCTCTGTTTTCTTTTGGCGCCTCCTTTTGCGTCGTCTACTGATTGACACTGTAATGCAGACGAGTGGGTTGTCCTTTCCCTCGCGTTGTTATTGTTGTGCTGAGACCGGCGATTTTCAGATGGAGACCTTTACCCATCTGTTTTGAGCGAGACTGTGAGGAGAGTGTGGGAGCATTATACCAGTTATACTCATATCTCCCTACCCTCCACAGATAATTTTTTTGAGCTCCTGAGTTTTTTCTGACACCGCACACACATTAGACACGTGAGCTTTCTTATTCCTTGTCTGATCCTTTGGGCCACCTGGACAAAAAGGAAAAATGCTAAGCATAGGGATAACCCTTTTTTGTGCTCTCATAATATTTTGCAGGTTGACCGACATCTCTCCCTCCTCACCGCTTTGGGCAGACTCACCCAGAGAGACTGGACAGGCTGCACGCCACCTCACCGCCTTGCACCACCCCCGTTGGTGCCTGTCCAGCATCCACGTCCCAGAGCTGTTGTTTGGCTGAAACTCGAGTCGCCTTGGGTTAAGCTAAACACTGATGGAGCCTTTGATCGACTTACTAGAGTCGCAGGAGGTGGGGGCCTGATTAGGGATCATAGCGGCGCCCTTATTGCCACGTTTCATGCCCCTCTTCGGGCCTCTTCGAGCTATAATGCAGAGGTTCAGACGCTTTAGATCGATCTTCAGATTGCCGCTTCGATCTCTTCTCACATTTGGATAGAGTTGGACGCTGCCGCTGTCATCACTCTTTTATCATCTAGCCATCAGGGCATGTGGCAGATCCAACATCCTCTCATGCATATTAGAGCCACTCTTCAGTCAATTCGCTCTCGGATCTCGCACATCTTCTGCGAGGAGAACGGGCCAGCTGACTTCCTTGCTGGCATCGGGTCCTCCACCCCCTAGAGACGCATTCTTTACCCTAACGATATTCCCCTCCGCCTCCGCACTCTCATACGGATGGACGTGACTTTTTCGCCGGGACTTTCCCCGGACCATGATCTGTTATTTTTGTATTCTCGCTGCATTTGTCAGCTGTTCCTTGTATTTTTTTATCTTGTTTTTGGTTTTTGGTTTCGTTTGACTTGATGTATATCAGACATTGGACTTGTACTTGTGTGACTTCTCAGCCCACTTAGGGTATTTTTATATACAGGTTGGGGGTTCGGCCTTAACTCCCACCTTCCTGGGTGTTGTTTGAAGAAAATAATAA